GCTCTGTCTGACGCGTCTGCCTCCGCGACCCGAAAGGAGAAGCGGCGATGGAAGATGAAGATGAAGATTAACTTTTCCATTCAACCAATGCATCCCATATCATTGATCACTATTCCATCATATCAGTTTCAAATCAAAATTCCTCAGCACTAGGACAGAGAATTAAGCGAGGACTAAGGCACCGTTCCCTACATTGCCATACGCTATCACTTCTTAATGAATAATTACCATTAGAATTTTATAGGGTTCCAGACAGTTTAAAGCTGTGTACTTTGAACTGCGATCTCCATGTTGTAAAGCCGTCCTCACAAATGCTATATAGAATAACATAATGCTCAAACTCCAAAACAGAAGATATCACGTTTCAGCAAAATGTAAACACAAAATAAGACATCAGTCAGAAAAACCAGTGCAAAAATAACTCCAGGAATCGAAAATTATTCGAATCCCGACATTTCATTCGAGAAGATTGAAAGCTCTTAGGTCGCGGACAAAGGGGGGGAGGGATAAACGACAGACGTTTTGTTTGATAACACCTTTGGCAGGAGTCAAATAAGTCAGAAAAAGACATTCATTCTACTTACTTTTCAGTAATTGACTGCATAAATTTAAAAAGTAAATGCATATCACCGAGTCCATGTGTACAATACATAGGACTGGCGTTGAAGTCATCTTGATTTTTGCTGTTAACGTCTCGATTGAACAGCAGTGGCCATCATTTGCTATTTCATTACTTTGAAGATGGTCAGTCTTGTTTCGACAAAATGCTGGCGACTTCTACGCTGTGCAGCAACAGTCGAATCAGTAATACACGTATTGAAAAAGAAGACAGAGTCTAAGTGGAGTTCGAAAATCATGCGCGTAAGCATGTTAGCTGGTTTGTCACGTTTCACGAGCTGCCTAAATGCTGCAGCAGTGGATTTAAAATATTCGCTGCGACTCTAAGGTCGTTGGCGTTCTGGGATTGAGGTAGTAACCGGAACTCGTTCAGGGCTGTGTATGGAATTTGACAGTCATTAAGTGCGGATACTGTACTACTCACGAAAAACACACTCATATAGGCATATCTAATAGATCTTTGCGTTATGTTCTGACCAATGGTCGCTCACGGTAGAAACTCACACAAGGCTGCTTTTCCAAACAATTTCTAAGAAAATCTTTTCGTGCCTGTTTTTTTCCAGAAAATCAGTCTAAGCTAGAAATCTGTCAGGAAAGCGTGCATTTCACTTCATCGATTCATTTGCTATTGGTCACACAACTGGAAACGTCACGAGGACCTCGGCGAAGGTCTCAGATTCGATGTAAAACATTCCCCTATGGTTCTGATATTTTGGAATTAGCTTCGATGCTGACTTCCGAAGTTCTCTTCGTGATTTCAGCTTAGTTCTGAACATGTGACTGCTTCCTAATGGCAGGAATTTCGCCTCGTCATTCGTCCAACTCTTCAGCGGAGGTTGCCGATCGATAAAGCAATTTCGATTTGTTTCCAACGCACAGCACCCACCGAGCAAGCGAGCTACTAAGAAGTGGCACTGGCCAAACACTGGCCTTTAGTGAAAGAAGAATTAAAGCCTTCTTCTCAACGTGACCAGTGATTAATTGATGTGCAGCTGGCGCGTGCTTCGCGAAACTGCTGCATCCTGGAGAGACAAATGCGATGTTCCAGTCTTGTTTGGTCATCACTATCACGTGTGCCTACCTACAGTAAACAATCTGCACCTTCCAGCTTGCTGTGTACATCTAAAGATATTGATTAGACATATTTACCGGTACACTACAGGCAAAGTACAAATTAGACCCAACTTCGACTTTGCGAGTTGACGAGGACTCATACTAGAATCGAAACGTGGACCGAGATGCACCATCATACGTGTTGTAGCCCTCATTAGAGATTACGTACATTCAGTGAATGCCATAGCAACTTATCAGAACTTCTGACGTGTTGGATACTTTGCGAGCATTCGAAACGAAGAAATTTCGATATTCGAAGCGTAGAACCTATGAAGAAGCAAATTTCATAATCAGCTAGAAATAATTTGTCATTAATCTTAATTTTGAAACATTTGCCGCTGTATCAGTTTCTGTCATCTCAGTCTGGCCTGAGACCTCAGTCACTGACAAGCGAAAGACTTTAATTAATTTTAAAATCTCTTAAATCATAATCTGTTGAGAACTGCACTGAAATTTAATCACCAGCGTTTGCGTTCGCTTAAAAGTTGCATGACAAAGACCGTCAGTCGTGGCATAGCAGGACTTAGATTAACACTGCTGAGCCGACAGAAGCGGTAACTTCATTTTTATCAACATGTCCAAAACATTAAAACTTGAGAAAGTCTATTTCTAGCAAGTTCATGATTTGACTGACCTCCAAGAAGCAAAACCTTAGGTCAGGTAGAAAGCTAAAACTGTGGAAAAATCCAATTTGAACTACTCCCATCTTCGAAGCAAAACCTCCCCAAACAGTTGACCATCCTTCGCCAATGAAAGGCATGACTGTTGAAATTTGCCAGCTAATCAAGTTTTATTCTTTCATTGGTTCCATGCTTGCATAGCTAAATTTTGAGAATACTGAAATTCAAAGTAAGTACGTACGACGAACATACGTAACGAAAATTATAAACCTTTAAACACTTCTTCAAAAACATGCGTTGAATAATTGTTAATGTTATCAAATATTCGTCATGATCGTCATTTAATACTAAAAATGTATTTAAGGTATAGTACGCTAGGTTTGTGCATTACGGTTTCAAATATTAATTTTTCTAGCTCAAATTTCTATTTGGTATTATTCGAATAGCGTCCAACCTTTCTACTGTTCGTACCATCTCTGTAAACGGCGTATGGTTCCAATGGAAAAGGTTCAGAATAGTTTTTCGTTCTTTTTTTCTATCAAGCCAAGTCAGACATCCTTCTCTGAGACTATTTCACAGGTGCCTCAAATCGCTAGCTGTTAGCATCTGAAAAACTCTGCTAGAGACTACATGAATACTTTTAGAGAAGCCATGTGCTCGCGTCCGCGATTAATCAGAAGGTCTAATAGTCAGTCCTTAAGGAGGAATCGCAGGAAGTCCGAACTGATTCGTAGTCAGCGGTTAAGGAGACCATCATCTGTAAGAGCATCGCATGCATTAAGTTTGCCATCTGCCATTGAAGCTGCCAATTTATCGTCGTTTTTCCAGCGAGGTTGTCTATCTCTTCCCTCGGGTCTAGATTAGAGTCAATACCCTGAGTTTTTGCGCAATACAGAAAAACTTGAACGGCGTCAGGTGATGAACGTAGACCACTGAATTAAATATCAGAAGTATCGTTTTGAAGGATCAGAAGGCCGAGAATGTTGCATGGGTCTGCTTCTGCCACCAAAGGTACAGGAGAGTTTTGCCTATGGCCTAAGCTGCTCTTGCAATGTCTGCCTGTACCGTACGCTATCCTGATGATGTGGTTATCGATTTCCGCCACAGTACCGCTGATTACAATAAATAGATCTTAAAGAAAATTGAAAACCACGTTGTTTTTAAAACGGCATGACGAGAAAGCAGTTCATCCATATAAATGGATTTAACTTAAGACTGGTAATGTAGTAAATATATGGATGTGCATAAAGCAGAGAACCGCTTATAAAATGTCACAATCCATTAGCGGTATTGGCAGACTACGACGGAGTTTGACTGGCCTGTCGAAATAAGAGGCGAATGAAGTTATAGTCCCGATATAAAGTAAACGGGAAACAGCTATCTTTCTTATCTAAGGCATCGTTTTGAAGAAAACACAAGAGCAATTCGAGCTTTAGACGGGAAGGGTAATCTACATACGAGTTTAAAAAACGTATGGTTGCGCAGCATCGAAGGATCTCGTGTACTTATTCATAAATGCACATCTAAAGAGTCATTACGCGACAGTAATTTTTGTAAAGCGGTCCCTTGAGTCTGTTAGTACGAAAGGAATCTGATGTCGCTTACTGGGTTTTATCAAGGATAAAACTCAAGGAACAACGTTGAAACTCGATATACCTTCCTAATTACTTAAATAAATTCATTCTATTTTCAAAATTTATTCCTGTTGATATCTATCTTTAAGTTAAATTAGCATCCGAGGTGGTTTCACACTTTTCAGCACAGAAGTGTCATTATCTCTTAGTACCACCAGACTTTGCCCTTAGGTGGGTGTGGTGCTTTTTGCAACTTCTTCCGGTGGTCACAGTTTCCGCGTTAGAAATCGATTCGAAACCGCCCCAGCGTTTCGATGTCTCACGTCAATTAGTTAGATACGATAGAAAGAAATCAAGTGCCTAACTTCCGCGTCTAATCAGTAGAAGAAATTTCGTATGCAGCAATAAACAGGTTAATTGGTTGATGATAGTCATCGCGTAGTTTGTTGCAGATGCCACCCTAGGCGATTTTCCGGCCGTGAATCCAGAGGGCGCCCGCGACTGGCCGTACATCGACGACGAGGAGGACAATGGTAAGTGATACGCAACGGAGACGACGGCGGTGACCTGAAGAACGGCGCAGGAGGAGGAAAATGAGGAAAGGAAGATTGTGAGCGAATTTGGGAAGGCCACGACGCAGCGGCCAAACCGATCTGCACCGACGATGGAGATTGTGAACAGTGCTTTTATAATAAAATATTTGTAGCTTATCTTACGTAACGGCAACTCAACCCTTGGCAATAGCGACTGCCATTGGCTGCACTACTTCACTACTTGTTCTTCTATTCATAACGTTAGTGTTCTTCACTTCTCGTACGTAATGACCGTAAGTACGTTTATAAAAGAATGTGTATTTTTGAAAGAAATAAGTAAAATTTTAATAACCGAGCAGACAAGCTATGAAGTGAAAGAAACAAGAAAAGTCTGTGTGAAGTGAGAGAGCTAATGATCAAATTTTTAGACAAAGAACAGAGAGAGATACAGAAAGCTGTTGCCCCATCAGTCAATCAGTCATTCGGTGGGTCAGACACACCAACGACGGAGACAGGCGACGACGAGCGGCATCTTCAGAGCAGACGCGCATGCATGCTAACAAGTACAGCATTATTTGGTAGGTCCACATTTGGTCGAGTCAGGTTGGGTTGGTCGCCGTCGACCGGATGGAGGGAACATCTGACGGTCGACGCTGACGGTCACCAGTTGTCGTAAAAAACTACTGGTTTTAAACGCACGAACGATTATGTACATTCATGGCACTTTCATTCACAAGCGACAGTCACCATCGGTCTGCACTATGGTTCTTCTTCACCTCCGTCGTCTACCACTGGTTCTTTTTAGTATGCGTTAAGGCAAGACGTCCCCGTTGTTGTGGCGGCCGAAGAAAGTACACTTGGCAGGGCAGGCATACAGTAGAGACAGATACCACGGTGTGTGCATCACTGACAAACAGCTGAAGCTAAACTTGTACGTGGCGCTCGCGATTTAACATTACAGCACTGTAGTACAAAAAACGCAGAAACAAAAAAACGAAGTAGAATAAAGATGAAGAAGAAAGTACGCGGTTTTGGTTCTCGTCGAACTGAGTGAGCATTGTAACGTAACGTCTAACGGCGGTGGATCCGTGGAGACGCTGGACATTCGGGAAGGAACTGCATCTACCTCCGGCGACCAAACGGGAGGCACCAAACAACGGCGGCAGCGGCGTTCAAACATACACACAACTTTGGTAATGTCACTTATTCATCGATCGGTCGACTCATGATCATACAGGCAATGAAGAAGAAACAGAGGAAGAAATATTCTAGGAAACAACAGAGGCGAGATACGAACGCTAATCCGCTGTCCCGTGCTTTCAGGCAAGAAACAATGGTCACAGTAATCGGTGAGTAACGTTGAACGTGGCTGGACGGCTAGCGTCGGGCGGTGAGCAGAGCAGCACCAGCAACAGCAGCAGCGGTCGTCGGATGGTGGGTCGGTCGGTCGGTCGGTCGGTCCGTGTGGAGGTGGCGGTCAGGCCAGGG